CTATCTATCTATCTATCTATCTATCTATCTATCTATCTATCTATCTACCTACCTACCTACCTACCTACCTATCTATATCTATCCATCCATCCATCCATCCATCCATCCATCCATCCATCCATCCATCCAAGTATTTGAAATAGAAGAGCTGCAAACAAAACCAGCTTCTTTTCCACTAAGAATATAAAGAGGTAAAATGAACCACCAGTTTGTCCTGACTAATCACAGCAATAATATCTCGCACAGGTTGATGGGAGAATTTTTCACCCCTGGTACTTTTGCATCCAAAATGGGGAAAACATTTGTCGAGGGCACCTTAGTTACCGAAGTCCTTACCTGGGAGATGATTATCCTAACCGTGAGACACATCCAATTACAGGACTGTTTCCTGCACCGCATAAAAACTACGGGGGAAATCGCCTTGCAATTATGGTCTCCGGGGGTGAGGAAAGTTTTCCAATCAGCACTTTGGACACATGGGACCAAGTTCTTGGGACCAGTTGAAACTATTTCCTACCCTGGAGCGAGATTCTGGTTAATGGATTAGGACAGAAGGATTTCAGGTGATCTCCAAAGAGAAGTTTCGATTATCATTGTTCTGATCCTGCCCAGAAGAGGCATCTTGAGCCCATCGTGGAGAACTACATGAATATGATAGTCTTTAACATTGTGCTCCATTATAATTCCCCCCTTTTAAAATATCAAATGGAAGGGATGTAATGGAAGTTCTCGGCCAGGGGTTTCCAAGCTTGGCAACTTTAAGACTTGTGGACTTCAACTCCCAGAGTTCCTCAGACAGCAAAGCTGGTTGTTGGAGACCCCTGTTCTAGGTGACACAAATAATCTGTCTCGGTGGAAAGTGAAGTGGTTGCTTCAGGAAAAGATCTGGAAGGCCAGCTTGGAAATTCAACTGATCGAAACCCTGAATGAAACCAAGGAAGATCACTCATCTGTACCATCCTGTACCAGGGTGAGTGAATTTTTCTTTTTTTCTTTTACCCACAGAAACTCAGCTTTCCAAGATTGTAAAGAAGGAAAGAATATTCATGTCGTTTCCTGATTGCAAAAAATCAAGCCGCTCAGATGCCTCTTAACAATATAAATTACCAAGTTAATCAAGACTAAGAAAACGTAATGGGGGCCTCGTGCTTTGATGGGCGATTAATATTAAAATAAAAGAAGAACTGTATGTAGAAAAGTAGGAGACAACAAATCCGGGGCACGGTTTTCTTATATTGTTCAGTAAACAAATACATGAAAATAAATAAATAAATAAGAACCAAAACCTTGAAAGGAATCCATTGTGGAGCTCTTGAATGGTAACATCTGCTCAGTAATTTTGGGGAGGGTAGAGATGGAGGGAAGCATTTGAATTTATTAGGAGTTCAAAGTTAAACAAAATTAATTTGTGGAAGGGAGGAAGGGAGGGAGAATAGAAGGAAAGGAAGGAAGGAGAGAATGAAAGGGAGGAAGGAGAGAATGGAAGGAAGGAAAGAAAGAAGGAAAGAAGAAATGAGAGAATAGGAGGGAAGAAGGAAGGAAGAAGAGAATAGGAAGGAAGAGATGGAGGGAGGGAGGAAAGAAGTGAGGGAGAGAGGGAGGGAGGAAGAAGAGAATAGGAAGGAAGAGACAGAGGGAGGGAGGAAAGTAGCAAGGGAGGGAGGGAGGGAGGGAGGGAGAGAAGGAAGGAAGGAAGGAAGGAAGGAAGGAAGGAAGGAAGGAAGGAAGGAAGGAAGGAAGGAAGGAAGGAAGGAAAGAAGGAAGGAAGGAGCTGGGTGACTTTGGCCAGTCCCTCTCTCTCAGCCCAACTCACTTCATAAGGTTGCGGGGGAAATAGGAGAAGGAAGGAGTGTCAGGTATATTCGCTGCCTTAAGTTCTTTATAAAAATAACAAAGGTGGGATCAAAATCTCTTTTCAAAACCCTCCCTTTCTTTTCTTTCAGTTGTTGAACTAATTTGCAGCTTAGCAAACAAACGAAAACATTAAGTCTGAAGATAGTTTATGTCCTCTTGTTAAATATTGCCTGAGAGTGAATATTGGCTGAATTTAAATCATAGTTTACAACTAGGTCATTCCCTGTTATGAATCTTTATAATTGACAGTGCCTAAATCAAGCAGCCGCTCAAATGCAAGGTCATTGATCATGTATTTCGTACCCACTACTTATCGGAGTAGCTATGTTTTCAATCATTGCTTCTATCGCCTCGTTGCTTGGGCACAAAAGGGTTTACGGTAATATGGATCTTACTTATGGAGTGTGCTGTGTGAGGGGAAGCCCATGGATGCAATTGTGTGGGATGACATAGATGGTTAAAAAAAAAAAAAAGGAAGAAAATAGAAGTGACCACTGAGAAAACAGGAATTCAGCCCAGAAAGAGTGAGAAAGAAACTCAAGATGGTTCTGCCTCTACTTTCTTTGGTAGAAGAGGGAGAGAGAGAAGAAAAAAACTTCTCAAGCTTCCAATTTTCTGCTATTATGTCCTTATAACTGAAGCTCAACTACGTTGGCCACCAAATGAGAAGAGAGGAACTCCTTGGAAAAAGACCCTGATGTTATTTTGGATGGAGGTGAGGACGTGGACCAACTTATTTATTCATTTCCATGCTCCTAACAAAGAAGGATATAGTCAAAACTTATGATCTTCCCAGGAGTGATGTATGGCTGTGAGTGCTGGGCAATGAAGAAGGCTAAGCACTGAAGCATTGATGCTTTCGAACTGTTTTGTGGGAGAAGATTCTTGAGGATCCCTTGGACTGCAAGGAGATCCAATCAGTTGATCCTGAAGAAAATCAACCCCTGATTGTTCTTCAGATGCTGAAGCTGAAGCTCAACTAACTTTGGCCACCAAATGAGAAGAGAGGAACTCCTTGGAAAAGACCTGGATGTTGGAAAGACTGAAGGCAACAGGAGAAGGGGGACATCGGAGAATGAGATGGTTAGATAGTGTCACTGACGCAATGAATGTAAATTGGAGCAAACTCCGAGAGACAGGAAACCTAGCATGTTATGGACCATGGGATTGCGAAGAGTTGGACCCAATAGTGACTGAACAAAAATACCCTTATACCAAGAATTTGGGTCTTTGGATCCCTTCACATTCTTAAAAATGATGGAGGACCCCAAAGAACTTTGGCTGATGTAGTTTATATCTTTTGATGTTTTCCGTATTAGAAATTAAAGTGGAGAGATTTAAAAATTGATTTGATCCCCAGGGGACTTCGTACCAGACTTGGAGAACCGCTGGCCCTCACCAATGAATGCAGTGTTTCTTAGGTGAAGGTAAAGGTTCCCCTTGCACATACACACTAGTCGTTTCTGGCTCTAGGGGGCGTTGCTCATCTCCGTTACAAAGCCAAAGAACCAGCGCTGCCACGAAGACATCTCCGTGGTCATGTGGCCGGCAGGACTAAACGCTGAAGGCTGGTTCCCTTCCCACCATAGTGGTCCCTATTTTTCTACTTGCATTTTTACATGCTTTCGAACTGCCAGGTTGGCAGAAGCTGGGACAAGGAACGGGAGCTCACTCCGTTATGCGGCGCTGGGGATTCGAACCGCCGAACTGCCCACCTTTCTGATCGACAAGCTCAGCGTCTTAGCCTCTGAGCCACCGTGTCCCTCGTTTCTTAGTATGCATATTTAAGCAGGTCTGATTACACGTGGGGTCAGGAGGATTTGAGGGGATTGCTCTCTCATTTCATGATTGTTGGTTATAAAGAAGTTAAGGAGGTGTCGAAAAGCAGCATTAAGCATGAGGCTCCCCAGGAGTTAAGCAGAAAGGTTTAAACATTACAGACTGAAAGTCAGAGTGAGCAGTGGCATAAGGAGAATTAATTACAAAAGTGAGGTATCACTAATTAAGGCTGCTTCTAAATTTGCATGCAAAACAAATATGAAAGCGCTTTGATATGTGTGAAAAAAGGCAATTTAACCTGTGGGTGACAACATTTAGTATTTTAATAGGATGTTTCATCTTCCAATTCCCTTTATAATTATGGAGGCCTATCGCTTACCTATAAGGTCAGGAAGACAAACACCTGACAGTGGTAGGGAAGAGAATGAAACCAGTTGAGACCAAGATGCGGCAGAGTTTTAGCAATGGTGGAAGATGGAACTGAGTTCTCTTGTGCTCTGTTCCATCCTCAACTTCCTCTTTGGACTCCGGTGGGATGCATTTATAATGCCATGAAGGCAAAGTTGAAGAAGAAAATTAAGATATCCATGGTTACCTAGAGCAGGGAACATACTAGCTCACCAGGAGGAAAACCCGGATTAATCATGGTGCAATGCCTAAAAACCAGTGGGATTGGAATTCTGTCTAGCCTAGCAAAAAGGACTAGTGGTGACGTGGTATCAGTGGTCCAAGATTTGAGGGGCTGCCACCAAGAAGAAGGGGTCAGACTATTCTCCAAAGCACCTGAAGGCTGGAGAAGAAGCAATGGATGGAACCTAATCAAGGAGAGAAGCAACCTGGAATTAAGGAGAAACTTCTTAACAGTGAGGACAATTAACCAGTGGAACAGCTTCCCACCAGAAGTTGTAGATGCTCCATCATTGGAGGGTTTTAAAGAAGAGATTGAACAGCCATTTGTCTGCAGTGGTACAGAGCTTGAGCAGGGGTTGGACTAGAAGACCTCCAAGGTCCCTTCCAACTCTGTTCTATTCTGTTTAGTTGAGGACAAGCAGGTTAAGGAGAAATTTTAATGGAGAAAATATGTACCCTGTTTCTCCAACAATACGGCCTCCCCCAATAGGAAGTCCCAGCATGTTTTATAGGCATGAAATGAAATTAAGCCCCTCCCCCCAAATTAAGGCCTATATTAAAACATGCAAAATGGGGGGAATGGGTGGGGAGCTTGCCATTAGGAAGTACTTTTGTTGCACACCTGGATATGGTGCTGCCTGCGTTGACCCCGATACGAAGTGCCCCACCAACGCCGAGGTCAACATCCAAGCTGTCGCCGCCCACCCGCTCGAAGATGCAAGGGGGGGGGGAATTAAGTCACCCCCGAAAAGACGGCCTAGCCATTTTTTCGGGGCTAAAAAAAAAAAAGACCCGGCCTTATTATATGAGAAACACGGTAGTTGCTAAGAGGGATGATTACTTGATAGCACAAACCCAAAAAAATCCATTCGCAATTGTGGTCGTAAGTCGAGTGGCAGAGTTTTAATCATCCATAAAACTCTACGACCATCTGAGGCTGTCCAGAGCGAATGAAGGTAGGGGGGAAAAAAAGGAAGGGATAGATTAACAACAATGGATAATTAAGTGGAAGGTTCAGCTCGGTGTGGACCAGTGAGCCAAGTTAATCAACAGTTCCAGGTTCCCTCGGAGAGAAATAACCCTGGATATTGTCAATAAAAAGAAGATGAGAGGAGACTAAGACGGCTGGGTTACAAGCTATTGTTAATTCTGTGAAGTGCTAATGTCGGTTTGAGAGAAATCCTCTGGGCAAGATTGAGATGGTTAATTCCAGATTTAAGGCACTGCACAGCATGTATGTTGGGATTTTGATTTCCTCCCTGTCCCTCCTGGATCAAACATTTTGCTACCTTCTATTTGATAGATGTCTAAGTTGGAAGAAAAGGCATATTATATTCTTTGGAAAGAGGAATATCAACAGAGGGAAGGACTCTACACAGCCATTTAGAGTAGAATGTCAGGAGAGACAAAGGGACTGGCCCAAAATCACCCAGCTGGCTTTCATGGCTAAGGTGGGACTAGAACACACTGTCTCCCAGTGATTGGTACAAAGTCACCCAATTGGCTTTTATAACTAAGGCGGGACTGGAACTCACTGTCTCCTGGTGATTGGTCCAAAGTCACCCA